TCCCACTGTAAATATGCTTTAAGTACCCTCCTACAGCATTCCTGTGAATATTCCTCTCTCTCTCTCTCTCTTGCTGCAGTTAGAGCTCCAGTGTCGGGATCTGAACAGTGAAAAGCAGGAGAGCCACGTGGAGAACGTCAAGCTGAAGATGACCAACGATGAGCTGTCCCGTGCGCTGGAGGGCACCAGCCAGGAGCTGACGCTGGCACAGGAGCAGCTGGCCATGCTGCAGGAGCAGGCGGCCCGGCTGCAGCAGGAGAAAGAGATGTGGGTACACATGCTTAATGCACGCTACATTTTCAGACTAAATGTGCTGTGTTTTCTTGATTCTAGACTGTATCCAAGGTATGCCAACATTTACTTATTCCAATCGTTACTCTGAATGAAGTTTCAAAAAAAAAAAAAGTGAAAGCTTTAAAGCTCCTTTGAGGAACTTTCATTTTGTGTCTGTCTATTTTGGCGCCCCCCTGTGGACAAAGCAGTATGACTCATGTCTTTGCTAATTTTGCCCTATGCATGTTTACATTGTTTTTCTGACCAAAAAATATTTTTTATTTACCCCAAATCTCATCCCTCCTTATTTTCAATGTGTTTCTGGCGCTAAACATTTTGAAGTCGGATGTTCTGCAGCTTGCTTTTTAAAAGTGATAAAAGATTGTCATTTTCTCATTTCAGGGAAATGTACAGAATAACAGAGGGGCTGCAGAGAGAGAAGCAAAGTCTCATGAAGCAGCTTGATCTCCTCAGGTAACGATGAGGACATCCCATGAGCGCACACTAAACCTGTGCAGCAGTTAGTCTTAATCGTTTCTGGCTTTTAGCTCACTCCTGATTGGATACAAATCTGGTTCTTTTTTTTTTTCCCCCCGCCTCATTGCTTTGGCTTTCCACGGCAGATTCCATCTCTCTAATTAATTTCTCTTTTTAATCCTCCCAGAGAGATGAACAAGCATTTAAAAGATGAGCGAGACATATGCTGCGGAGTAGTGAGTATATATATATATATTTTTTAAATCTAGCTTTCTTGCAGCAGCATCTGCCATTGTCCGAACTGATCGATTAACAAAACAAAAAAAACATGCCTCCTTTTTTGTTTGAAATTAGCCTCGGAGCTCCCTCAGAAAGAAGCAGAAGCAGAGAGCAGGCCTCGCCGACATGTTTGATGACACCAGCCAGCTGCTAAGGAGGTACTCTTTAACACAAATCATCTCTGTTAGAGTGTCTCCTGAGTGACAAAGGAGGCTTGGTGTGATGTGAAAATCATGTGTTAAAGAGGGAAAAACAGAGGATACCTGATTCTATTCACTTAAATAAATTAACACTTTTGGTTTGGATGAGACTAAAATCAGAAACATTGAGTGCTTCAGCCTCCAGATTTGCAGCTCAAACAAGTGAATTGACCCGGTATATCCTCTTGTTTCTCCTCTTGTTTTTTGAAGAGCCCCACTGTTGGTGGATGGGTCCTACCAGTCTCTGGAGGCCTTGCCTATAGAGCACCTTCAAATCGTGTTTGTTGCTTCCTCCTCCAGCAGTGAGGACGACACGACCGCCATCACCCAGTCCTATTCTAGCACTGTTAGCACTCCTGTGTGCCAGCAGCGGCCTGCAGCGAAGAAGAACTCTGGTTTAACCAACGGCCACTCCAACCATGCTCCGAGCAAGGCCAACGATGTGAAAGCAAAGGCTAAAAAATCTCCCATCAAGGTGACTGCCGCGAAGAGGACGGCGGGGAAAGGCAGGGAGAGGGCCAAAAGAACAGATGTTGAGAGGAAGGCGGGCGTAGAAGAGGAGGTTTTGGACTCCCCTCCGGACGGGTGGCCCCTACGACGAGTCATCTCCATCGAGGAGGACCACCTGCCCCACCTGCTCCTCGGAGGGCCTCAGCCTTTGCTGCACCAGCTCAGCGAGGAGGACGACGAAGTGGACGAGAGAGGAGGGGAAGAGGAAGCTCAGAGTGACTTTGAAACGAGCGTCGCCGTCACGGCAGACGCCGCTGCCAACCTGTCCTCAAGTCACGCCTTGCCCCCCGTGCCGGTAGAGAACTCTGCAGCGAGGAAACACAGCTTCAACCGGGCGAAAAGGACGCCCATGTCTCCAAGAGGACAGCCAGTCGGGAAGGAAACCCAGCAAGTACGTCCCAACATGTAGAGCTTTGAATATGCCTTAAAATGTAACTTAAATATGTCATAACCAGCGTACTGTATTACATGTGCTGTCTTTCTGCCTTTGCCTGTTTTTCAGAAGGTAAAAGAAGGAGATCTGTTTGTCCCAGACCGCCTCTTTAAAGTGGTCCTGGTTGGAAACTCAAGTGTAGGCAAGACGTCCCTGCTCCGCTCCTTCTGTGAGGGCCGTTTCCATTCTACCACAACTGCTACTGTGGGTGAGAAGAGAAACAGTGTCATGATATTATTGTAGGTCTGTTGGGTGTTTGTGTACAAAAGTGTCAGAGGCTTGTTTTGTGTGTGTGTGTGGTTTTTTTTTTTGTGTGGATGCTAACACAGAGGAATCGGAGGGTGACTAAGCATCACATGAAAGGGCTTGTGAAGTCACACTGCCTGTCTTAGAGCCCTGGCACACATTGTACTACAGATTATGTCACCTCTGATGAATGTTTTTTTTTTTTTTTTTTTTCCCTCTCTCCTCGCTTTCATCTTTTCCCAACCCTTGCTTGAGCCTAGTTATCTCCACTTTGTTCCCCACTTCTCCTCTGAACTGAGGCACAGGCAGTATGATGCCTCGCTAAGCCCCCCTTGTGGCCATTCGTGGCCTATATGCTAAAAAAAACAAAAAGAGAAATGGGGGCCCATATTTCCCAATCCAAGCAGTAAAAAAAAAATCTCATTATCTCATTTTCATATCAAACATAATGAGGATCTTTTTTCAGGTATCGACTACAGTGTAAAGACACTAACCCTGGACAATATGCAGGTGGCCATCCAGCTGTGGGACACAGCGGGTCAAGAGAGGTAAATTTATGTTCTGTTTTTGTTCCCACAAAACAAGTGCAGAATATTTATCTTTCCATAAAACTTCGAGAATTATCAAAATCAACAGAACCGCACAATTTTTCATCAAATAACTGAGTTGGGATTTTCATGAAGAACCACTGCTATGATATAAGTAATATCACAGTAGTAGAATTCAGTTTAACTTGTAATACATAAAAATCAAAGTTTCTAGTGTTTAGTAGGTGACAGTTAAACCCTCTCTTCACTGCAGGTTCCGCAGCATAACCAAGCAGTTCTTCCGCAAGGCAGACGGTGTCGTGCTGATGTATGACATCACTGTGGAGGACAGCTTCTGGGCTGTGCAGCCATGGCTGAACAACGTCCAGGTCTGACTTTTTGGCCTTGAAAAAGTCCTCTGCTGCTTTTTTTTTATCTTATTTACTTCTTTATTTGAAGCTTTACTATAGTCTTTTATGGTCATCATCATTTGTAGTCTTTCCAAAAATGTTACAATTTCCACTTGTGTCTTTTTTCAAACTTGAATTTGTTTCTGATGTCTTAGTAAACAACGGTTAATCTGATGATGTGTAACTCAATCACTTCCTGTAGTAAACAATTGGACTACTGTCTTTTTGCAGGAAGCAGCAGGAGAAGGCGTCCCTATCCTCCTTTTGGGCAACAAAATGGACATGGATGGCCAGAGGGAGGTTTCTTTCAGAGTAGCTGAGCAGCTGGCTTATGTGAGTTTTACTCAGAGCTTGTGAATTGGCTTTCTCATCCTCATCATTGAGAATACCAACAAGATTAGTGAAGAAAATAACCTTGAATTAACCGTTACTTTCTGTGAATTATGTGCAGGAAAACAGGGTGATCTTCTTTGAGGTCAGTGCCTACACGGGCAAGAATGTGACTGAGTCGCTGACGCACCTGGCCAGGTAAAATCAATTATTCAATCACATCCTTTTTATCTCTTGACACTTAAATATATGTATAGAGACCCATCGTTTATCCACCATGTGCAAGCCCTTGGCAAATGTAGCACAAATAAAGCGTTCTTTGAATAGGCAGAAACCCTGAACAGAACCAGACTCATTAAGCAGCCATCTGTCAGGACCAGCTGGGCATAGTGGGTCAAAAAGAGAGAGGAACCTTAAGAAAACTTAAGAAAATCTTTATATTCACTCACTTAGGTGGTCAGATACAAGTCTGAGCTAGCCCGAACAGTCAGCATGATCAAGGGAAGTTTTTTGGAGACTCTAGGTGCCACAAGCAGACCTGCATTTCAACTGTATATATATAAAAAAAACAATATAATCACAAATAATGTTGACCCACTGCAAGCTAAAGAGAAACATCAGACACATGAGGATAATATTGCATTTTGTGCTATTTGTCATGGAATTCATCTGCTTATTTGTTGTTCTCTCTGTGTCTCAGAGTGTTAATTCAGCAGGAAGACCGGGTGAGAGAGAAAACAGTCATCCTCAGTAACCAGCCCATCAAGAAGAAAGCCTGCTGCAAGTAAAGTGCTGCTCTGTTCTAGAGTGCGGACATTATATTTGTGGTGTTTAAAGACAAAAAAAGAAACCATTCTAGGACCATATCGTGGCGTGAAATTGTGAAGTCTTCATTTTATCCTGAAAGTCGACACATTTGAAAGGAGGGAGTGTTGCCCACAAGAACGTGAAACCATCTGTCGAGCTTAAACGACGAGGCTCAAGAGAAAGAGCTCGTCTGCAACATTTCTTTGTAAATAAAATCCCAGTAGTGCTGTTTATAAGATTTGGAATACAAATATATCCTGTATTATAATTTATTTGAGTGACAAACTTAACCCGAGACAATAATCATTAATATACATGCAGTTTGTTTTTTTCATAACTGAATAATAGCTTTCTAGTTTTAATTTTCAGAATATATTGGGTGTAGAAAATTAAAATTAATTAAATGAACTAAACTAACTGGAATCCGTTTTTTTTTTTAAAAGCTGTTGAAAAGAAATTCAGATGAGCAAAATTGATGTGATTCTTCGATATTTTATTCATTGTCATCTTTTTTTTTTTTTTTTCATACTCTGTCAGATGTCAAAAAACAAAGTGGTACACGACATATTGCATCTGTGTTTGTTACTGTTCTGAGGCATTGTTCTGTGTTACTCCGGCACCAAAGTCGAGTTCTCAATTAAAGACACAAATAAATAACATTTCTTTCCAATATCAATGCAGCAAAAAAAAAAAAATTGAACACAAGCAAAAAGTAAATGAAGCAAAAAACAAGAAATGACTTTTCCGTCCTCACAATTAAACAGTGCATACCTAATCATAAAAATGAATAATGGAAAACAGTGACCTTGCTTTTAAACTTCTCAACATCACACTGCTCAAGGCTTTCTAACTAGCTGCACTCACAATATAAAGACTACTTAATGTTCTCCATGTATACTCCAAATAATCCCAGAAACTAGTGAGATGAGAAAGAAATCAAGTCCATTTAGGATGTTACATTCAACGATGTGCCCGAGCTGATCAAGTTGGTGCAGGTGATGGCACTATTGCTGACAATTACTCTTCTCGTCTGATGACATCACAAAGTTGCTGGTATGGCGGCGTCCAATCCAATGGGTCTGGTCGCTCTCTCTCTCTCTCTCTCTCTCTCTCCCCTGCCAGCTGGACTGCTTGTGGAGAGCCTGTGCTCTCTCTCTCTTCCCCCCCCCTCCCTTTTTCTCCAAGCTGGTCCCAGAGTGCTGAGGGTAGTTGGTTGGTTGTCGTTGTGGTAGCTAACGCATTTTATAGTCGTGGGAAATGGCCGCCTCACAGAGTTGTCCTTTAAAGTCCAGCTCCAGGGTGAACTCCAGGTCACGCTTAAAAAAAAACCACAAAAAAACACAAAAACAACAAGCAAGTGTAAAATCAAGTGTCCCACGATGCAAACATTGCTAGGATAAAATGGCTACATTTTCCTGAACTCAAACAATGCTAACTAATGCTACTGCTAATGGGCTAATCTTTCTGTAATTTGTCGACAAAATTAGGACATTTAAAGTACAGTCATTTAAAAATGTGTTTTTTATTATGTGGTTCAAGCAGTGGTCAAAGTTCATCAAATTTAAATTTTAGCGTGCTAACATTTCTGCTAGCTGGAGCCTAACTGTAGACAAAAACGAGAGAGGAAGGAGTCCTCTTGTTCAAATGTCTGTAGCCTATATTTCCAAAAGAAAAAAATGTCCTTGACTGTTTTTAAATGTTGCCTGTTTTTAACAAGCTTACCACGTTCTTTTCATTTGGCCGGACAGCAATACTGCCAAAGATCTCTTCTCCTTTTTTGACAGTTAGGTAGTCCTCCAAGTAAAACACAGTCTGCTTCCAGTGTGTGTTGGGGGCATCTGGAGCTAAGGGGGAGTGGAAGGAAGGAAGGAAGGAAGGAAAGAAGGAAAACACGTACATGAGCATCAGGAAAAAGGAATGAAAAGCACAGAATATAGAGAGGAAAGAACATAAAAGGGTACGAAATGTAAGAGGGAAGGGGTGAAACAGATGAGAGCGGCATGAGGAAGAGGAGAGGCAGTAATAAAGAGATGTTGAGGAGAATTTGAGGAGTTATACAATTTAGAAAAACACTCTGGTTCCAATGGGCACTCATCTGCCTTGGGCTTGTTAACATGGAGGTGAATTTATATAGCAGCAGCTGAAACTCTCCCAGTGGGATGAAGACAGCGGCTGATAGGAGACAAATCCCTCAGTGATGCTCAGCCTCAGGTGCAACAGACTCGGCCAAACATAGAACCTCCTCTACACAATATTATATAAGCATTGGATGCATGAGTGCATTAACATAAGCTTACATAACAGTTTAGCTACCCTATCTATAATAGGCGTCCTCAACACCACTAAGAACCAGAAGTGGGTTTTTTTTCTGGTGGTAACATGAGGCGCCGTGGTATTCACAGCTACAGAACCACCAGAGTGTAGCCAAGAGCCGAGACATAGAAGAGCAGGGGCTTCTTTAAAGGGACATGGATTTATTTACAGCTCCAACATGCTTGTAGAAGAAGAAATTCTGAAAACTTGCTGGATTTCTTCCAGCATGGAGCTAAACTCATGTGGTCCTGCTTATATGTAAATTTTTTTTCTGATATCCTCTATTGAAATTGAAGTTTAAGCGGTTGGTTGACTTAAATTAAGGACAGATTTCTTGGTTGTATTTGCACAAGATTACTACTACTGCATTTTTTTTTTCCAAGTCGTGTGACATACATTCAATCGCACTTGCTGATTTAAGAATAAAAATAAAGATACAGGCATAAATCTTCGGGACAGACTCCAGAAACACGGGGTCATGGCTGGATACCACTTAAGAATATGTCTACGTAGAGAATATGTGTTTTGCATCGCGTTACGGCAGAATGAGTTAATAACTCACCAGTGGAGAAGCCGGTCTTCTTGTGACACTTTGTGAACTCGATGTTGAAGTACGTGACCAAGGCGTGGATGTAATCGTTGCGCTGGATCTGCAGACAGAAGGCTGAGGTAAAGGACAGGTCCTCTGGCTTCACCGTGTAGATGTCCACTTCCTGTGGGAAAATGGTGAAAAAAGGAGGGTCTATTTCCAGGAAATATACAATATAAAACAATCATAGTCTCAGTGAAATGACCTATTGCTGGAAACCCTTTACAATAAAGGTACACATTTTGCATAGCTACTAGGGAACGAAGGTGAACTAGTTAACCAAAAGTTAATGGATCGTTGATTGGGATCTACTGCTTCCCAAACCTCTGTGTGCACATGTCCACACAAGTTGTCCTTCCAATTTGCTATCACCCCCACACATGCAGTGCATTCATATGTCAACCCTTTCATGATAATTCACCATGATTATTGAGCATGTGTGACTCTGTGTGTGTGTCTGTATGTGTGTGTAAAATCCCACAGGTTGAATCATGGCTGGCAAACGCAGCTTGCTCACAGTACACATGCTGTGTGGGTGTCCTCCCTCAAGTCTATAAGGGAGGCAGGCTGAGTGTGAGAGTGTGAGTGTGTGTGTGAGAGAACACAGCATCTGTGTGTTCGCTAGTGTCTATATCAAGCACTGCCTTATGAATATGGCTTCAAATGTAAGTATCCCATTTTTTTTTTTTTTTGGTAACATGGCAGGCTTAACATCTCATACAGAAAAGGAGTGGAGCAGGTGCGTCTGTGTTTTTAAGTCGAGAGAGAACATTTTGCTCTGCAATCTGTTCTCCAGCCATGTGGCTTCACCATGACAGATTGTGATTTAACACCTTTGTCCTTTTCAATGATGCAAAGTCGGCATCATATACAAAAAATTGTAGCCGGAGGAAGAAAAAAGAAATCCCCAGGAGCAACTTTGTCATTTTTAGCATGCGGGGAATGAGTGGCAGTTTGAATTAAGACAGGGTGAAGTGTCTGTCAGTGGGGAAAAGCCCCTGAATTCCTACATGTGAAAGAGATACAAACAGTGGGAATTAATTGTTTAGACCAGCATGACATTAAGCTTGTAACCTAACACATAAATCACCTTTTTTTTTTTTTTTTTTTTTTTTTTTTTAAGCACAAGAGGAGGCTCGGCAGCCGTAAAAATGATGAGAAGCCCATTTCATTTCCATTGGGGACTCAATGACCATGAGGTGTGACATTTCCAAGATAGAGAAGCCTCCTTTTTGCTGAAACTAAAGCAGCCTCATATCGCACTAATCAGAGACTTTGAAGAATGAAGAGGACACTAACATAACAAATAAAAAAAAAGAACATGGTGTGAGGCAAAAAAAAAAAATTGGAAAACCAATGAAAAGAAAGATTGAGGTGAAAGGGACTAACATAAAAAAAAAAAGCTCTTGTCCTCTTTTTATTAGTGAGAGAAGAAAAAAGCCACTGCTGTATCTCTAAGCATGGAAACACAGCGGCAGACTTTTACAGAAACCTCGATTATGAAGCAGAAAACAGTCTCAACCGACTGAGGTGTTCAAAGGCTCAAAGATTGATAGCTGTCTCTGATTCCTCTTTAGGAGCTCTTGCACAAAAAAGAAGTACAGATTTTTCAGAGATACAAAGCAGTATAAGAGACAAACGTATGCATATTGTTTTTTCATTCTTTTATAATGTGTTCTTACAAAAAAGATAAAAGACCAACCTTCAGGAGGCAGGTGTTAGTCACAACCTGTTTTGGATCTACCACATCCACCAGAGGCTCTTTGTTGGCCACATTGCGAATGCAGCTCATGTCGAATCCATACACGTTCTCCCACCCTGTGCATACACAAGCATATACATCTAAAAGTACAGAAAACCATATATATATATACACACACATGCACACAGCGGGTGATGTCTGGATTTTAATTTGCTGAGTTTTCATACACCTGTAAAGCTCTTTGTTCATGCCAAAAAAATCAAAACAAAAAGTTAGCAGAGAAACTAAAACAAACACATTCTGCACTCCCTGTCTATCTGTCCATCCAGCCCCTATGTGGAGAAAGACAAGCCCTCTTGAAAATAGACTCCAGCCTCCTCCACCTCCTCCGCCATGTCTGGCAGGCTTCTCCTTTTTTTAAAAATATTTTTAACATAATTTGGGCTGAAAAACACACCAAGCAGGCTTTTCCCACCTCCATTCCCTCTGTCCCTCTCGCTCCACCTTGCCTTGTCAGAGGGCCAAACACTAATTCTGAACGATGAGAAGGTGGAAAATTCCACCGACGCAGGGAGAAACTAAAAATAAGAGCAGGAGGTGTTTGGGTAGACTGAATTCTTTTGGGTACTTATTTAAGAGCATGTGCATGTCAAGCTGCAGACGAACAAAGAGGGGCCACCTGTGCAGTGAAACTAAACCCAGCAGGAGTTAAAATAACCCCAGATTTGGAGTCAATCTTACGATTTCTGAAAAGCAGCTTTGATATTGGGGGCTTTTTTTTTTATCTGGATCACAATGTTAAGCTCAGCACTCCTGTTGTGATTGATAATTGAACAGGAAAGTGAATTTAGAGAGAACTACTTCAGGCTCATGACAGGTAACACATGTTCTCTATGTTACATTATTACATTGTCTTTGTAGCTAACGTTAACCCTCTCAGCTTATTTGCAATTTCTGACCACTTCTACAACATGATTGGTCCTTGTGTTGGAGAATCTCTTCATGATTCACCTGTCAACATGAATGACGGCAGACCTGATAACTCGTTAAAAATGTGATAAAACCATGACCTTTTATTTCATACTTACTCATCTCTTAAGTCGGCATTAAACATCACACCAAACAGATTTCTCACAACCTGGCAACCCAGTGCCTCATTAATGACTTGCTGCTTGTCAGTAAAGCACAGACGTTGCTCAAGTTTTACAATGAAATGGATCAAACTACTTGTGTGTGCTGTGTTCAATGGATCCCTCAAAGTGACAGACGTTACAGTTTCTCTCCCCTCTAAGGAGGGTTTTAGCATCATACCCCTAATGCTTCTCACTTCTCTTATCAAACACAGCTAGCTATTTTTAGCTGGATTCATAAACACCCTGAATGCAACCTACACAGCACATAACGGCAAAAAAGACCAAGTTAGAGACTAGTTAGTGAACATAGTGACAATTTAGCTTGTAGCTAAAAACTGAGCTAAAAGGAGGGCTAATATATGACTAATGTTCAGCAGGTGGACAGAAACACCAATTTCAATTTACTGCTAATTCGGTTCCATATATTATAAGTGGAAATAGGTAACTGTTCCAACTTTATTAATGACAATATCAGTCAGTTGGCCAAAATACTAATTAATCCAAAATTAATAAAGCCTGCTAGTCCTGATAAATCTGATAACTTCAGCTTTTATAAAGACTACACTACTACAAAGTGCAACCGTACATTTTCATATCCAACATGATGCTCTCCGTCTGCACAATCGTTATTAATAATAGATGAGCAGAGAAGAAGCCAGAGATACAGTGGTAAAAAAAAAACAAAAAAAGAATAGGAATGACTGAGCATGAACGTGTGACAAAAAGCTAACACATCCACCATCATTACTCACAATGAATCTTGAAGTCTTTGTACTGCCGGTCCTCAATGGCCACCACGTACAGAGCTGCTCTGTCAGGGAACATCAGGCCGCCAGGTTTCTAAAAAAAAAAAAAAAAAAAAAAAAAAAGCTTCAGGAATCAGTGAGCACGCACACAAAAGGCCATCCATCACCTTTATTGGTCACACACCTGGCATGTAATATAAGAGCACGTGCCCAGTTTAAAGCCTGCAGGCAGCTACTGCCTGAAAGCAAATCACTCATGTGTGAGCTCAGCATGTGAGCAGCAGACACATACATGGTGTGAAATATAAATCCTCTACTTTAGCACTCTGTGGTGTGTTTACGTGCAAGCCGTTTTTGGTTCAGGCGGCTACGCAAAAAGTAAAACCCAGCATCTCCCCAAGCCCTCAGCTGCACCATCTTACCAGCCACTTGTCCCTGGCGAAGATGACAGTGTTGAGCATGGACTCGTAGAAGAGGCAATAGCCCATCCACTCTGAGATGATAATGTCCACCTTCTCCACGGGCAGCTCCACCTCCTCCACCTTGCCTTTAAAGATGGTAATGACTGCGGTGTACAGAGCCACAGAACAGCAGGCAACAAATTACTTCACGGCATCTTCATCACATTAATTCAAATCGGACAATGACTCTATTCCCAAATGAGATTTTTTTTTTTTTTTAAGTCTTGAGATTGCTGCAGTTAATACGCCTTAATAACTGCACTCATGGCGCTGCTTTTTTTCTGCATAAATTAGTTTTGACCCGTGGTATGAAAAAACAAGGAAACAACAGGTACTTTAAAAGGAAAACAAAGGCTATCTTCCTTAAAATAGCAATGGTTTATCTTTGCAAACAAGCTTATTATTGATCATATTTACAATTCCATTTTCCTCTAATGTCACGCTCAGGGTGGGAGGCTCAAATGTATAATGTTGTATCACTGTGTTTAAGGTTTGCAGATGTATCTGACTAATTATAATGCTATCACTACTCTCTGATTGATCCCCTACTGGATAAAGATGTGGAAGTAAAAAATGCCAACAGGACAGTGAGCTTGGTTTCAAATTAAATCACTATATTTTACAATAGGCAAACATTTGCTAACAGCTGACTTAACATTTAACCACTTCTTGAATAACATTACCACTACTACTACTAATTTACTGTTTATTGTGGTACAAGATACGTTTGGAAAGATATGACTTCTTAGCAAACAGTTAGGAGCTAGGTAACAAATGTGGGCAAGGAAAGGGTTAAAAACTAATTTTGGCTTATTGTGATGTTTCTGCTGTTTGCTATCGACTTAAACGACCCAATTTCTGCTGTCCATTCTCTTTTCAGTTTTCGATCAATTTAAAAGGCGTAGATATGTTCCTGCTTTGTCAGATTCATGGGGTTTAAATGGCTTTCGAACGCACCATAACAACATAATAATAACAGCTACTGAGCTTCCTACCCGGAGAGTGATGCCAGAAAAAGACGGCCATCATGGACATTTGGTGAGATAACAGCTATAATAATAATAATAATAATAATAATAATAACTTTATTTATATAGCACTTATCTAAACAAGGTTACAAAGTGCTTTACAGAATTCATACAATCAAATGATGGCTCTGATGGCAAATGCCTGGTCGCCCTTGGTAACCAGCCTAGATCGAGGAACGACTAATAGGGGTGCTCTTGATGATCTCAGATCTCGGCTTGGAGCATAGGGGGTTAAAAGTTCTGTAATGTAAGGGGGGGCTAGACCGTGTTGTGTTTTAAAAGTAACTATCACCTTGTATTTGCAGTGCTTGCACTCAGCTATCACTTTTGCAAGTAATACAGTTATATACTGTGCATAGAAGTGTATGGGAGTGAGCTGTTTATTTCTAAGTAATAACAAGTCGCCAGTGTCTAAGTTGTTTAAAAATGATGGGATAATTAAATACTGTACAATAATATAATGATGGCCTATAAATACAAAAGCAACATTGGACACTTGGTTTTTAACTAGCTTGTTGAATACTTAATTGGACCATCAGTTTTCAACACATGAAATATAAATATATTAGATAAGGCCTTATAAAACCTATAATCAAATATGGAGGCCGTAAAACCCTCCATCTGTCGCCAGTGCTCCATCTGTGAAGTTTGTGTTGACATATTACAATCAGCACCAGTTAGGGAATTCTGAGTGATGGCAGAGATGCTGATTATTAGACACCAAAAGAGAGGAGAGCTGCCGCCAGTTAAACCGTCAGAACTGTGACTAATGTTGTCGTCTGTGACGGTAATGATGGAGATATGCTGATTTATCACGCCACTTTTAATCCAGATATCATCCCACTGCTCTGTATTACAAAAAAAAAAAAAAAAGATGGATTTAAGAAAGGCAGCAGTAATGGGGGAAAAAAAACGACAACTTCATCTTACCGTTGTGTAGGTGATTTGACTTGATGATCTTCTCGGAATATTCAGATATACTTGAACATTCAATCTGCGGGAGCAAAGGAAATAAACTCTGTTTTAATATTCACAGTGTTTATAGGTTTAGATACATGTTTAAGATGTTAGATTACTTCGTTAGAATAACAAAATCATTATCTCCTCACTAAAGTAGCTGATACATATTGTTGTTAGCAGCCTCCTGATATATAGAAGTTTAACCTTTGGGGTAATATTAAAAGGACAAATTGAATCAAACGCCGCTAATCCATCCACACAGTAATGCCCCTGATGGCTCATCTCAGACCCTGTGCTGCAGGAAAACACAGACATCATTTTTGCTCTCCCATCTATAAGTGTAATACAGTATATGAATCATGCATAACTGTGGGACTCACAGCCGGTAATGCATAACCTGTAGCTTTTCAGGGAGCCTTTATTGCCTCTGCGCATAAGATGGTCTGAAAGAGATTAACTATTTCTGGCAAGAACACAAAGACTGGCTCTGAAGCGAACTTTCTTTTTTTTTTGTGTGTGTGCATGATTCAGGGAACGGGAGAGACAATGGATGAGAGATAATGTGACAGCCAAGCCAGATGTAATATTCATTTGGACATTGAATGGATCTGCAGGTTTCTCTCTTTTAAAGATATAAAAGACAGCAAGGATGATATAATTGAACACTCTGGAGTGTTTTTTTTTGTTTTGTTTTTAAGTGGACAAAAGGGTCTCACCCCATACACATGTTTGGCGCCAGCATTAGCAGCAAACATCGAGAGGATCCCCGTACCGCTACCAACATCCAAGACGATCTTATCTTTGAAAACATGCTTGTTGTGGTACATGGCGTTCCTGTAGGTCAGCGTCCGCACCTCATCTTTCAGCATCTCCTGTGTAGGAATAAAACAGAGGTTTTCAATAACAAGCAAACCAGTTTAGTTCATATGATGAAGTAGTAGAGCCTACCTGAAGATTAGTGTGATTCACAGAAACAAACACATAATGTTTTATAATGAACTTACAATCAGGCATATTTTAAAAAGCAGGGGACCTTCAGCATATGCCTTTGTATTTTTTTTTCCAAGTAAAACTAAGTGGATAAGCCAGTTTTTAGGCCAAAAGCCTTGGTGACAGTAACAGGAGCTTCTTGAAATAGACAAGAGTACGACACACAGCCTTCTGGGACCGCCTGGTATCCATCTCCCTTTCACACATCCCACTTTCCATCTTTCTTCCTCTGCACTTTTCTAATCAGGACATTCTCTTTGTCTGCAAGCACACAGAAACCTGACCCACATGCTAAATGTGGACACTATTTAAAGAGGTCTATATAGTGCAGGGACTATATAGAGTCCCCGAACTTTTCCAACACCACTCCTTTCGCCGATCAAGGTCATTTACTCGGGCACTGCTCGACAAAACTTGGATAGCAGTTCACAAAAGACAAATCCAACAAGATATGAACATTTTAACTTTCCCCTGACTTCACGCTAATGGTGGGAAGCTAAAATGCTGCCATACTGTCCTACAGCTGCGTTTCAGGTCTGCAAATCTTAAAAAAAAAACTTTTTCTAAAACAATAAGCTTTTGAGAAGACAAAAGATAATCTGGCTGTATTTCAAGTCCAACCTCTAATTGTATTACTCATCAACTAATGTTGGACAACAGCTAATGAAAGCATTGAACGACTTCCAAGCTCACACATCCCTCTGAAGATGTTGTACAACACAATAGGGCAGGGATAACTTAATAGCTAAAATGTTTGGTTTTTTTTGCTTCATACATTGCTTAAATTTGTGTTTGAGGGTGCCAGTGAGATGATTTGATCACAAGCAAAATTAAAGCCTATGTGTCCATAAAAACAATCACTAATCATCTATATGACCTGACAAATCCCTCTCAGAGTTAGCCAGACTAAAAGGGGTCAAAACTCCCAATCAAGAAAAGAAAGTGTCAGATTAGACAGAACAGGAAGCATCATGGTGTCATTCTTTTTTTTTTTTTTTTTTTTACCCTGGCCAAACCAAGCATGCAGTTTTTTTGGGGTTTTTTTTTCAGCTTGGCCTGCCTACCTCATGGATGCCAAAATGGGCGTAAGAGTCGAAGTAGTAGTCGCGTGATGTCATTTCCTCTGGGCTGATGAACTTCGCTATCTTGCCTCGACCAGGACAGGTTGCCAGGCCCGCTACGTGAGGCGCATGGGGGATGCAGGGCACATGGTGCGCGGTAGGCACTGGTTTGGGCAGTGGGGAGGGCTGGGCAGACTGAGAGAGCGGGGACGTGACAGGCTGCTGCCGCTGTGAAGGAGGGGATGAGAAAGAAAAGTGGGGGGGGTGGAGAGTTGAATGAGGATCTATGAATTATAGACAAGAATGATTCACAAAGGGGTTGTTTTTTTGTTTTTTTTTAAGGAACGTGCAAAAAGCATTTACAAAAAAAATGACCTGCTTTAAGTTAAAATCTGACAGTAGAGACAATGAACTAAAGGATAAAAGCAGAAAAAAAAAAATCATACAGTCTTTATCATCATTACACAAACAGAGTCTCAATGAAGAGCCGGCGGAAGATGCAGTTCCGTTTCAGCACCAAGGACAGCGGCTATAGCACACGTCCAACACGTTCATGCATGCATTGAGAGCTAAACATATTCCCAGACTGCAAATCTCCCCGCAGCCTTTGCATTAGGCTGTCTCTATTGTTGCAATTTCAGCGGTTTACTTAAGATTACCTTAAGATTATCTGCAGGACACTAAGAAAACACTTTCCATTTTCTTGCACGCCATCGTGGTGCTACAGTCATTCCTAATCTTGCGACGTGGATAAAGAATAACACAAAATGTACACATATATATTCAACTCAAATGTGCTGTCACATAAAAATTTAAAAAAAAAAAAAATAGCCGTAATAAGAGTGTCCCGGTCCGGGTATTACCGGGCACAGGACACCACAAGGTCCCTACCTCGGAGCTGTCCGCCTCCGCCATCTTCCGCCGTAGCAGCAAACAACGCGACGAATGCCTCAGTCCCATGAGAGCCGACGAGATTTAGGCTACAACTCTTTTTAAGTGTGCAGAGGATCTCAGTTCTCACCAGAAAGCTGTCAAAAATAGCACCACGCCGCCGAATACATGGCAGGAGTGCATAAAAAGATGAAAGTCATATTAAGAAACGTGAAGGTATGACAGTTCGAACCAATTAAATCCATCCCCCCCCCTCACCCCCCTTCCGAGAAAAGTTGTTAAAAGGATGTTCACGAGTGGGGGGGAAGAAAAAAAATGCACAGAAATCCACGCGGTGTGACTGTCACAGGTTGTTTTTAGAGGAAGGATGGCAGATCCACCTATTGGAGGGAGAGACTCTGCTGCGACTGCAGGGTGGCAGGTTTGATCCCGACAGGAGTCACTGGGTCTGTTAACACCTGAAGCCACATAAGCCTGATCACATTTCTGAAGAGTGTCCGAGAAAACAGTGTCACCCACCCCACGTCTATATAAAGAGGCACTTGCGCACTAGGAAGCATAGAAATCCACACAAGAAAACGCATCTCCTCTACTTTTCTCGGAAACACCCACGGACACATGAAGACTCACAAATCAGCTGTGAAGTCCTTTTGCGTGATCCTCATATAGGTTCCCCGGAAACAGAAAGTTTAGGTGGGTTTAAAGTGTGCTCTGCTGTTGCAGTAGAGCACCTCGGTTTGGAGAAATGAGTCGTGACAATTATTGTAATAAGATTCACACAAAAAAAAAAAAAATCTGTGCTTTCCACAGACATATGCCTCCTCATACCAGACTTTCCCCACAGAAGCAGACATCCAGCTCTACGGCAACCAACGACAACCAATGAGCAGCTCAGACGCTCGCTTACATAATATAGGTGTCTTCTATGGTTTTGGGGGGAATAAATAACATAGACAGCGGTGGCTCTATTAAATAACTCGACTACTACGCGTTTATAAAATGCGTTTCCACTGCATGAAGCGGTCGCAGTTGCATATTCCTGATGATTTCATTATTTAAATAAAAGGTAAGGCATGTCACAGGTGTGCAGTTTCAGCTTGCTCATTAGTGGCATGAATCCCATTCGGCCAATCAGAATCGCGGGCCAAGTTTGTTTAGTTCATTGTTCAGTTTGTCAGGGATCAAGCACGAAAATGTATCTCAATTAATGAGAACAGATGCATTGCTCCAGATTTAGGTGATTAGCTGGATTCCATCTGCAGTCTCTCGGCAGGTATAGCCTACACACACACACACGCACACGCACACACAGACAAACAAACGGGTGTGAAATGGTTATCAAAACAAGTATCAATCCACATTTATTGCCACATGATTGCTTTTTTTCAGGATCCAATTTTTTCACTTCACGGGAAAATCAAAATGTGTGCAGTTTTTATTAAAATCGGTGGGGAGCTTGTTGCACTCCTCTAAATTAAATTAATGTGCATAGGCAGTCTAGGCCCTTTTGGAATGCAACACTGCCCCCTGCAGGTTGACCTTGTGGCCCTGCTCATCTGTTCAGAGCAGAGTTGAACAAATGTATAGGGCCAGTATTGTGAATTATCTTTGAAAACAAACAAACAAAAAAACAATCTGACTGATTAATATATTATCAAATTATCAGAGTTTTAAATATTATGCCTGAGAAGTTGTGACTTCGTGTGTGTGTTTCCATTCCTTGATTCCAATCAGTGAAATCACAGCAGTTGTTTTTCGATGACTGCTCAAGGCAAAAACGCCTACTGTGTCATCACTGATTGTTTTGCACAACATGCATGTGCTATGACTCCATCGAGAGCACCGTGATTGGCCAATATTTTTTTTGTCCTGGTTCTCACAGCCCTCATAGCGCCCAACCAGTCAGATGTGACATTGATCTTATGCAGGGCTGAAGTTGCTGTTGGCAGCACGTTAAATTTTGTACCTGATTTGTCACAGCTGATCATAAAGCTTAAAGTAAAGGGAGATATCCCTAAAAACTTTCCTCTTGGAAAATGTCAAAATACACCCTTGATGTCATTTTTCCATACTCAGTAGGGACTTTTTGTGCCTGCATCTGTGTGTCTTCCATTACTCACTTATTTCACATTGTATCAGAGCATTCCCCCGGGTTACCTACTCTGAAAAATATGACATTTTATCTGCCGCTAACAAAAAAAGATTGGCTCGTGTCCCATTAATGAAAACCTAATACAATGAAACACACCAGGTTTTAGTCACGGTTATGGATGAGCTCCATCAGTGGTGCTTAAGAACATCGGCCCACGCATCACACTCGATGATAATGTGTATATTCACTCTATCACACACACACACACACAGCCATCAGTGAGGGGGCTGGAGCACACATAAGCAGGAGTCATGATGAGTGAAAGAAGTGGGCTGACCACTATTGACTGACATACAGGATTCACAGAGCAGGTAGCATGACAAAGACAGGAGAAGGTTTTTCTGTTCAGTTTATTATACACTTTGTTTGCAAAGAAATCAATCAATTCTTTTGTCTCCATTATTCTCATGTTATATTTTACATTTTGTAAGCGTTACACCCACATTACACACTCTAGAGATGCTCAGATACGAGTTCAATTTCATGATTTTGCAGGAATTAGACAGACGGTCTTTTTGAACAACCAAACATGCACAAAATAATATCTAAATAGAATTAGAAAAAAACCCATGATAAATCGATTGCATACAGGCTAGGTTTACTACTAGACTTTCAGTAGTCTTTGCAGAGGCCACCATTAGACTTTTCTGTTATCTTCACAGAGAGTCCAGAGGAACAAACTCAGGGAGTTTGAGGCACAGGGGTTATGACAATAGGGGCCGAGTTCTTCCCTTTTTTAAGTCCTTGAAGGGAAAAGTACGGATACAGTTTCTCTGTAAAGCAGCAGTTAGTGAAGGAATAGATTTGTGATTTAGAATCAACATAGAAGGAAACCTCGCCTTTGTTGTAGTCCACAAAGACGCCAACCTTCTGGAGCTTTTCTTTCAGTGTGATTTTGACTCTTGGTTCTGTAAGTGCAAATATATGCCATCTTTAAGCATAATGATCCAGCAACCATTTTTGTCTGACAAAGGTGTGTTTGTCTTTCTATCAATAGACTCTTTGACCACTCCAACAATCCAGTCGGTCTTTCCTTTCACTTGAACCTCATAGTAAAACTTCCCTGTTGAAAACCCCTCAGTTGTCAGAACCTCTGGATACACCTCAAATCTCTTTGGATTTTTGGGAAGATTCTGCCTTTCTTCTACTTCGGTGACTTGTTTTCCATCCTGGCTTATGACAAGTGAGTCAAACGCTGTTTCGGGGTCAAAGGTCAGGTCCACTGCATGCTCCCTCATTATTTTCATTTGAATCTCAGGAAGCTCCTCCATTATTTGACCTACTCTCTGTTCCAGCAGTGTTAGCGCATCTCTCGGAGCTTTGAAGGACAGATCACTGTGAACACCAATGTCCGCCCAGTCCTTAAAGTCAAAGGAAGAGAATAAGGTTGGGAAGGTCTGGAGCAAAAGATGGTGGTCGTCGGACCGCCACAGCTGCTCAAGACGACTGCTTCTGCTGTCAAGCTCAATGACTTCCCTCCTCAGTTCTGTGATTAGGTCTTCAGCCTTCTGCTTTGTTGCCCTGTACCGCTCATCAATCGCCTCGACCAGCTTGGCCTGGCTGCTCTGGATACAGCGGATCAAGTCTTCGCACGCCCGAACACTGGCTTCTTTCTCTTGTTCAACTTGTATTTGGCACGCAGCAGCCGAGTTTTGGATTTCTGCCATCTTCTCAGCTCGCGACTGTTTCATCTGTTGGATGTTTGTCGTTGTCTCGTCTTTTTTGGCCACCACTGCTTCGTATTCTTCCTCAAGCGGGACAACAATGTGACTCTTGTGTTCGGCTTTGGAGCACAGCACACAAATAAAAGCCTGGTCCGTCCTGCAGTACAGTTCTGTTGTCTTGCTGTGTGTCTCGCACATCCTGTCATGCAGATCTTTCACTGGCTCTAATAATGTGTGGCTCTTCAAAGGAGTGACTCTCAAGTGCGGCTCAAGATGTGCGTCACAGAAAGAGACGAGGCACGTCAGGCAAGATTTAACAGCCTTGTTATTTTTCTCTGAGCAAATATCACAAAGAACGTCTGTGGTTTCAGGAAGTTCAGGTTCCGGGTGTGTGGCTTTGACTTGAATTGACACCTTAAATGCGTCAACTAACTCAGACATCATAGAGTTGACTTTAAGTTCAGGTCTTGGAGAAAACACCTGATTGCAAAATGGACACTGGCATGTGACATTGCTGTCCCAATACTTGTGGAGACAAGCACTGCAGAAATTGTGTCCACATGGCGTTGACACTGGCTTGCAAAACACATCCAGACAGATGGAACATAGGAACCTCTCCTCTGTCGGCAGACCGCTGGCAGTTGCCATATCTAGAAAAGAATTAAGGAAGCAAATACACAGTTCATACGAATTCAGTAACACCTGTTGAAACTGTGCGTTACGTTATGAGTTAGATAAGAATCAAAAGGAAACATTTTGACAAAAGTATCTTTCTGACCTGTAATTTCAAGTAAAAGGAAAGGACCACACCTGGAAATGAGTCGATTGTTTGCCCAAAAAGTTTCGTTCATAGACTGTAAATGTTAAGGTTTCGTTTCACCTGGGTGACGTATTAAGTCTCCGCCTTCTTCACTTTATACAAAGACTTCCTGCTCAAATTTAACGCTTTAATCTCCATTTTAAATTGCGTTTTCGTCTCTAGAGTTCGCCTAAACCTTTTATTTTTATTTTTTTTTTTTTATGTAAGTTTACTTTCAAAGTTCACGTCGTGGTCCACAGCTTTGAAAACTTCATGTTGTGGAACTTGGTCTGTTCACAGGACAAATCCAGCTGCGTCCTAGAGCTCCCCCTTGTGGCTTAGTTGTTCAGATGTAGTCAAGGTGTGCCCCGTTTGAAACCTCTGTATACAATCGTCAGTAACACAAAATGACCCCACCAAAAAGTGTCTGAAGAAAATATAAAGCCAAATCTTTCATTTCTTGAAAAAAAAACAAAAAAAACCCTTTTTAGAAAAGAGCAAACTCATCTAGAGTATCAACCGTTTAAATATCTACTCCAGATACAATAAATGTCATTGATGAATTCAGGAGTTTCAGTCTGTCAAATAGACTTTTAATGAGGCGTAATTCAGCGTGGTTTCTCCTTATTGTATGGAATTCAGCTGTACGTATATTTACTTCAAACATTCTGCAAAGAAACTTGAGAACGAGTTCATATCGTCTGTATTTTATTGAAATGTTTGCACAAGCCTGTATAGCAGAAGAGGAGCAGTATACAGCCGGATGAACAATACAGCAAGTGCAGGATTTAGGAAAAAAGACAAAGATTAAAAAAAACAACATCTTTTTAACACCCGTGTGAGTGAATAGTGCCTCATATGTCAGATCAATCTGTACTCACAAAGTGCAAATGACATTTCTCAACTCAACCTCAAGCATCTATAACCTAACCGACAATCAAGTCCTGACTGGATTGGAATCGTCCTCATAACTTCACAGCATAACACACACAAACATGGCATGATGAAATCGCAAAAAGGGAACAGAAATAGAGGGTAAGATCACATCACTTCATACCACATAGTGGCGTCCTTCACAATTAACAACGAATCGACTTTTGAGTCTCCTACAATGAGCGTTTATGGCTTTATGTTTAAAAAAATACAACACACAATCATGTCATGAACTTCTTTCCATTATTACAAATCATTCTATGGGTCCCACGTGTTCATCCAAATCCCAAACTTTCAGTCTAAGCAAAAAGCATGCCAAGCATAGAAAGTGTATTAAGTTTACAACATAGCTCTCTCTCTCTCTTTTTTTTTTTGTTTGGTTTCCTGAATTATATTTACATCTCATGTATGTAGTTAACACTCGTCAAGAAATAAGATTCACAGAAGAGCGTACAGTGTTTACAATTGAACTACAAAAGAAATGTGTGATCATAAACCATGTTAACCTGAAAAAAAAGTCACTACTTGATTAATTTTCCTCCCTGCAGACAAAGATTTCAACCACTTTTTTTTTTTTTATGTACAGCACAATTATTTATTTCTTTACAGTGACTTCTTATCAAATTGTAATATTTGCACAGCACATGAACCTTTAAAACCTTCCCAATCCAACATTTAGACAGACTCTTGTCCAATAGTTGTCAACTGACAAATCCCTGTGTTAACACTTTACAAGCAGTGAATAATGACCTCTTAAGAAAAATAAGAAAAGGGGGAAGAAAGGCTTTTCTTTGATTTCTTAGATGTCACATGTGCCGTTGTTCACTGGACAGTAACGCTGGGCAAATCTTTGGACACCACAATTTTCTTTGACAGTCAAGGAACTCATTTCTATCCACCGTCTCTTTCGTTCACCACATGAACCTCTGAGTGACTGCGCTGTCTGGCCAGTGGAAAGTCTTACTGATGAAGATGTAGAGTGTGGCAGCATTCACAGCAGTGTACAGAAGAAACTCCACCACCAGTCTGGGAAGAGTGGGGAGCGGCATGTGCAGGCGGTACATCAGGTAGGGGACGATGAAGTACCTGAACTCCAGCAGCTTCTGGGGTACCGTGGCAGCCAGGAGGCACACCAGCAGCGCCAGACTCCAGAACAACGAGCGGGACTTGAGGGAGTCCAGGAAGTTCCACCCTGCGAACAGGTAGGCGGGGACGAGGAGGAAGCGCACCAGCTCATGCCTCTGGAAAAGCCTTTTCCACACATAGAAGGGGAAGTGGCGGTTATCAGCAAGGAGGTACCTGTGGACGAAAGTGAACTTCCACACCAGGAGCAAGGAGAGGCCGGCGACTAAGAGGAAGAAAAAAGGCTGTTTTTTCAGAGCCTGGAAGAAGCGAAGCACGCGGTGGTAACAAAGGGAGACGGGGAGGGAGAAGAAGAGTGCGAACGAGAAAAAGTAGAAGAGTTGGGGAAAGTTAAGGCAGGCTTCATGACTCGTCCTGTCGCCCACTACTATCCCGTCATTCAGCACCACAAACGCAACGGAGCCCACGCCGACAACCGCGTAAGGCCAGGTCACCAGCAGCACTGCCTTCATGTAAACGGGCGACGTGAGGAACTCCAGCGTGAAGAGCAACACTTTCTTAACGCCGCCGAGTGACAGCGGGACCTGGGTGGGAGGAGTCTTGTCATCCCTCTTCTTCGTGTGCTCCAGCCTCCAGGCTTCGTCCATTTTGGCGGCCACCAACGTGCCCGCGCAGAAAGCAACCCAGACGATGTTGGTCTGCCGGAAGAGCACGGAGCAGACGCCGAGAAGCGCCGAAGCCTTGTGGCAGCTGTACAGCGTCATCAGGTAGGTGAAAAGGATGAAGAATGTCGACCCGGCGTCAGTGTAGTAGAGGAAGTTGAAGAAGTAGAGCACAGGGAAGGTGGACAGAGACAGCGCAGAGAGGACTCTGCGGGACGTCGTCCGTGTCTGCAAGAGAGGAACATTTCAATTAGAAAAAGGAAGAAATGACAAAAACAAGATCATTACTCATCATTATGGTTATTATCAGTTGGAATTACCTTCTCCCTGAGGTGTAGCTTGCAGACGAGCAGATAGAGCAGGTAGAGGTTGCCGCAGTTGAACAGCAGGTTGACGAAGCGCAGCATGGCAGTGGAACACACCACCTGGCCGGTCAGGTCAGCGAGCCACACCACGGGCTTGATCACGCCCACCGAGACGAGGTAAAGGCCGGGCAGGGTGGTGATCATGGGGTCCCACTGCACATGACATGAGGAAAAGTGAGAAGACGTTAAACAAAAATGTCACCACTTGGTCTTATTCGCTCGTCACATCGCTAGGATTTCTCCAAATTTGCAAATGTGAATTCCGTCTCAGCTGGGGAAGAAAAAAAAAAATCTTTTCAGAATATCAAATCCAGCTTTGGCGGTCCATGCTTTATTTTTGGCTGCTTAAAAAAAAACACAGCATCCCGTAAAAGACTGAAAAAGTCTCTCTTTTATTAGACTTCCTTTCCTCTACGAGAATTTGACAGTTTCATAGTCATGATTTCATTTTTAATCTGATAATTTAAAAAAAAGAAAAAGAAACGACCCAGTAATTTTTGCAGTCCAGAATAAATTGCTCAAAAAAAAAAAAAAAAAAAAACATCATTAAGATTCAAAAGATTGTTTTTTTTTGTTGTATTTGTCACATGCTCACACAGATGTGCAGCGAAATGTAAACTGCGACATGTTTGAAAGTAACGCAACTGGAAACTAAATGATTTGATGAATGAATGAAAAATCTAATTTAGAAGACGATTCTTTAATTTCCATGTTGCACAATCAGAACTGCCAGTGGTAAAGCAATAAATTAAAGCACATAACCCCCCCCCCCACCCACCACCACTAATACCACTCTATATGTTGCACATGGAGATTAAAGGATGCTCTGCAGTCTGTCACATCATTTTAAATGTAACATTAATCCTCTAAAGCACAAAGAGGCTCGCCTGTCTTCATGTCTCTCTCCCCTCCTCACAGCACAAAAAGTACCTCGTTGAATTTCCCATGGCAATACTTCTGAGCTTGCGGGATGTGAAAGATCTCGTCCATGTAGGGCTCCCTCTGCTCCCGAGTGACTCTGGAGAACAGCAGGCAGGATATCAAAAAGTTGGTGCTGCAAAGAGCGGTGAAGAGGTATCCTTCAAATTTCTCCATTGTTCGCTCAGGAAATCCAATTAAAAAGCGAGTGCACTTCAAAATGTCTCCGTCGTTTTTTGTTTGTTTGTTTGTTTTTTTTTTTAAATCACATAACTACAAGACCGCTGTGCAAACCAGCAAAGTAACTCCGTCCAGTTGCGATAAACGGAAGAGTTTAAAAAAAGAAAAAGAAAAAAAACAAATGTTCACAGCTAACGGCTCGGCTTGGCAACTTGTACAAAAGCATTTAAGTTCCGCTTTTGTTCTATCTACTCTAACACCTCAGTTATGTGAAATAGTAGCGCCATGAAAATAAACATAATCTACATTCTTAATAATTATAATTTAATATATATTTTCTTGATTTTAATGAACATTTAGCAACAAAAACAAACAAAAAAAAAGGGGGAACTGCGCTCATAACGCGGTGTCGCCGTGTTATTGTTCCCCTTCATGTACCGTGTGGGGTAACTTGAAGCAGGCTCGTCGCGGTTTCTTCACAGTTCATTTTGATGAAGATTATTGTCTAGCATGCATTTAACACATGACTTGGAGCTTTTCCCCGGTCGCAGGGTGACCCAGCTGCTTTTTAAAGACGTGAAAAATGCGGCTGAGCTGAGACAGTGTGCTGTGAAAGGTGAAGTAAACGGAGCCTTGATCAACCCGACGATGGTGAGGAAACACTGTTTTATCCCTCTTCCCCATTCTGCTGTTTTAGTTGTATATATTTACAGTCTATGATATTAACCAGCTAATTACTGTGTCATTTCCTGCACAGGTAAAGCTATTCATAGTCATAGCCTCTAAACAAAACAGGAAGCAAAAGGTGATTTATTGTAACCCTAGGACTTAACCATCACTTTCTTTTTCATTTGCAGCTTGTGAATCCTTTCCAGGTTCTAGTAGCTGCCAACAAGGCTGTTCACCTACAGACAATTGGAAAAATGAAGACCAGAAGT